AGAATAATTTCAATACACATGCAATGATACAATAAAGGTGTAGCATTCGACAGCTAAATGCCTGGTTTTATATGAAAAAAAATAAATAGATAACATGCCAAAGTTCCTCCTTTTTATTGAACACCTTATATACGCGATAGAAACTCTTTATTTATAAAGTATTAAACGCGTGCAAGCCATATATACTAACCTGGAAAGAGAATTGAGAATGTCGCCTGTAGGTATACACTGTATAGTTTGTGTTGTGTTTGTGTGCAGAATTTAGCTTGAACTGGCAGGTGCATGGCAAACAAAGTTTGTAAACAGATGCATGCATGCTTGCGAGTATTTGTAGGCATGGATACCAGCAAAACGAATTCATAATCAATGTTCATCAGTTTAGAAATTAGGCATTCATGCAGTGTAAAAGTAAACCGCTATAAGAGCTAGGGGGAGGAGGTGTTTTCAGTGCCACTCATTGTAGTCCTTCAAATATTTCGATTTGTGCGATATTCGGGTAGAGTTGTTCCAGTATAATAGAGTATTTATAGAAAAATATATGTGATATAATATATACATTTGTTTAAACAAAATGTACTTGCCTATATAACTGGTATATAGTTTGTGTTCTCCTCTTATTCGTCTTTTGTTCAGTCAATGGTTCCCTGGAATTTGTTCATGTTTGCTGTTTGCTGTTTGCGGCTGCTACTGTATATATGTTTCCGATAGTGTCTTCATGCATGTATGCAACCTGGTTTAAGTAAATGAATGTAATCCCTGAACAAATTACATTCGCGATCCGCGCATAGGATCATAAATCCTATATGCGCATAGCGGCTGCGTGTACACTGTATCGGATAGTTTTTCGTAGCGACGTGAAAAAACACCACCGTATCTTTTAGGAACTCAGCTTCTGAAAGTTGTACATTCCGTATCCGATATAAGTGCTTTTTCGCGCCACAACGGAAAGCTATCCGCGGTACGGTATAGTGTAAACGTAGCCTAAGATATTGGCCGTTCTACATTGAAAATTGTAAGCAATACTGTAAAACACTAGTGCGAATAAGTAATTATAGCGTCTTCATTATTCATTTTTATCAAATTTACAACTTTTTTAACAGATTGTGAAGAATTAAATAAAATCATTTTAAATAGTTTCTTACATGAATTGTCACAATATTCGCTGTGCAACCGATAAAATTTCGGGTATCAAGGCAGATTAATTGTTTGTTGCTTAGAATATATATGTCAGTTTCTCACGAATCTCACTATCTAAATATTGGCGGCGTTGCTCGTATTTTGGCTTATTTTTGTCATCAATCATCGAAAAAAGATACTTCTTCCAATCATTTTCCTCCATTCCGCTAACAGTTATACCACTTTTTATCGACTCTTGTATTCCAGCTCTTGCTTTTTGTCGTAGTTCCTTATTGCCTCCTTGTTGTTGTCGTCCTAACCGAAATTCGTGAGTTATTTTGATGCGCAAACGTATGCCTTTGGGCTGTAGTATATCAAAATATATTCTTTTCACGTGAGTACCTGAGTACAAGCTGAAACGTGAACCTGAGTACATTATACCAAGACAGCAAATATCATCCAAAATGTCATTTCAAAGTTGAATTCGCTTACTGTAGTTTGATTCCAGTAACAGTATAGAATTCAATTCAAACGATCTTTTATGGCCAGGAAAAGAAGTTTCGTAACACTATTCATCCCGGATAGCTCATGTGAATAGCCTTTTATTAGATAGGTATAACAAAATTACCGATTTCTGATTGGTTGATAGGACTAAAATTATGTTGTTAATTATACTTCAGTAAAATGCTATTTCGATTCCTTTTAGTGATCATGACTTTGTTCAAGAACAAGAAGCAAGACTTCTGATGATATGTAAAAGAACTTTATCCTTATCTGTTGGCAGGTAAAAACGAATAGTTGCAAACTTTCCTCAACCTGTATTCTTGTAACGGTTGTATTATTATAAATTATGCTGACATTTGATTTACCGATACGATAAAGCATGCATACTGTTTGTCTATTTCATGTGTTTTGTATAATTGCACAAATCTGCATGGTTTAGTTGCCAAATCATTGTTTGCAATTTCGCCTGAACCTATATGGACAATTTTTATTTGATAAAACGAAGGAAAATATGACTAGAAAAGCCAGCATTAGGGCAGCATGTATTTACTGGAAATATTGATACATGCGCATGCGTATTGATGTTATCGACCGATAACCGATCAGCCTTTCCGTCACGTTTTAGATTATCGGCTTCTACCAATAAAGAACCGATTATCGGCTTATTCATGAAGTTAGCCATGCAAATCGCGGCGCATGTAATATCTTCTCTCTTTAGAGGAATGCTTACCCTGGCTACATCTCGTCCGACGTTAACTGAACTTGTTCCCATTCCTCCATTGGAGATTACTGGCCGCGCATTACCCAGGTTAGTTTATTTCAATCATAAACGGAAGTGTCATATTTGGTTGAGTCAAAATCGAAGAAGAAGTGTTCTCATTTGGAATGAAGAGAAATTATAATCAGGCAATTGCACATTGTAGTATTTGTATCACCTTTACAAAGGTGAAAGGCAGATATGTACTGGAATGGGATTCTTTTTCAAATTCCTTACTATTGAAATAGATGGGTCGTAATTATATGGAAATAATATATGGAAATCCAATTTCCATACTATGAATCACTCTATTATATATATACTTGTTTTGTTGTAGTAGATAATAAAGTGCTCAACACTAGTATTATAGTAGAGCAAGATATATTTATATCTTAAAATTAATTATTGCTACTCAAGTTTCACG